GGTGTGAGGTGTCCAGCTGTGCCAAGCCCAGCCCTGGCACCCCCTGCTCCCCTGGGCACAGGGGCTCCCTGCTGACACTGCCACTGGCCCTGGGCTCCAACAAAACTCTTCACTCAGGGCAAAGTCCCTCCAGTCTCCTGCTGTGCCCATTGTTGGTGCATATTCATTAAGTGAAATTAGCATCTAATAGGTCTTAATTGGCTTATAAAAGCCTTGTTTTTTGGTGATGGAATCTGTGCTGTAGCTGTGCCGGGTCCCTCTGGCCCAGCTGCCACCTCGGCTCAGTCCCTTCCTTGTCCCCATATCCATGGAGGTGTCCCTGCCCCACCCCTGGCAGAGCTCAGAGCCAGCCTGCTGTGCTGGGAGCTGTCCCTGCCCATGGCAGGGGATTGCAGGAGAGCAAAACGCCTTTGTACAAGCCTGGAAATTGATAAAAAAATTCAATTTAGCCATTATTGACTGTTTTCAGACCAGACACAGGGCAGCTTTGAAGTGTCTGTAAGTGAGAGTAGCCCTGCAGTCCCAGACTCAGAGACTCCTCCATCATTGACGAGGAAGAGGAAGGAGGAGATGAGGAGGTTTCCTGACTCCTGCTTTTCTGCCTGTTCCTGTAAATGGTGTGCACTGTGTTCCCGGCTGGGGAGGGATGGGGACCCAGGGCAGTGCCAGGCAGGGGCTCTGCCAGCGCTCACAGCCCCTTCCCCAGGCTCTCAGTTGGCACCAGGGTCTATTTCTCTTTTTCTTTCTTTTTCCCCATTTTTCCATGGAGGTCTGGAGCGGGGGCAGAGCAGCAAAAAGTCACCTGAGTCCACGGTGTGAGGAGGGTGCCAGGACTCTGCCCGAGCTGGCAGTGGCCGTGCCAGGGGAGGATGGATGTTCCCTGCTGAGCTGGCGTGGGCACGGAGCTGCAGCTGCTGGTGCCAGCTCTGCCCTTGGTCACGCATTGCTGCGGCTGGGCAGGGCTCCAGCTGGAGAACAAAACCTGCAGCCCTGCACTGCAGGATCAGGAATTGTCTCTGCCCTGGGCTCAGGCAAATGAAGGAGCCTGTGTGCCCAAATCCTCTGGGCAGGCTGTGCCAGGCCTCGTGTGGGGGGAGGCAGGGCTGGGCTTTGGGGAGGGAAGGGGATGCTGGGGGTGATGTCTGCCAGGACAGAGGCAGTGCAGGCAATGCTGGCAATGCTGGTAATGCTGATCAATGGTGGCAATGCTGGCAGTGCTGGCAGTGCAGGCAATGCTGGTAATGCTGATCAATGGTGGCAATGCTGGCAGTGCTGGCAATGCTGGCAGTGCTGGCAGTGCTGGCAGTCTCTCCCTGAGGATGCCAGGAGAGCTTTCAGCCCAGGCTGGGTGTGCAGCACACCTGGAGGGGCTCCAGGGCTGTGGGGATCAGCTGCTCTTGGGTCCAGGAGCTTTGCTGGCCGTGTGTGGCCATGGCCAGGGAAGGTGCCCACGCGGGTTGCCGAGGCCCTGCCAGCTCAGGGGGGCTCAGCAGCCTGTCCTGGGGTGTGGGGGGGGTCTGGAGCTGCCCTAACGCCGGGCTCTGTGTCCCCTGCAGGTGAACCCTCCCGCTGGTCCTCGTCCCACTGCGACTGCTGCTGCAAGAACGGCAAGGGCGACAAGGAGGGCGAGAGCGGCACGTCCTGCAACGAGCTGTCCACGTCGAGCTGTGACAGCCAGTCCGAGGCCAGCTCGCCCCAGGAGACTGTCATCTGCGGGCCTGTCACCCGCCAGCCCAACATCCAGACTCTGGACAGGCCCGCCAAGAAGGGCCCCGTGCAGCTGCTGCAGCAATCCGAGATCCGCAGGAAGAGCGACCTGCTCCGGACTCTCACCTCCGGCTCCCGAGAGTCCAACTCCAGCAAGAAGAAAGCCGTCAAGGAGAAGCTCTCCATTGAGGAAGAGCTGGAAAAATGTATCCAGGATTTCCTCAAAATCAAAATCCCAGACAGGTTTCCCGAGAGGAAGCACCCCTGGCAATCGGAACTGCTGAGGAAGTATCACCTTTAGGATTTGGATGGGGAGAGCACAGCTGGTTAAAACAGAGCCAGACCCGGAGTGACACAACAGTAATTCCCAATACCAACTTCTTGTTAGGTCACCAAAACCAAAACCCATCTCTAGTACTGCCTAATTTGCCTCTTTCACCTTAACATTTCTAGTCGTAGGGGAAGGATCTTTTTGCAGTCCTGGAAGCACAATGACAAACGCTTTTGTTTGTAAACTTGGAGTCTTACACAAGCTGAAAACCTTAAGGGCACGGCCAGGCCCACCCCAAGGGACATTTGTGTGGCCCTGGAGCAGGCAGGGTGGGATGGGGAGGGCTCTGTGCCCCCTGCACCCTGCTCGGAGGGAGGAGCACAGCACAAAGCCCCAGCTCTGCCCCATTTAAGCATGTGTATTTATATATGTGCATATATATATGTGTGTATATATATCTCTGTGTATATATATATATGTATATATATATCAATATATATTGCTTAAACATTTTCTGGCTCTCTCCTTATAACTGCACTTTCTCAGAAAAGAGCATTTTTTTTTTTTTTTTAGTCTGTGGATGTCCCGTTTCTTCTCCAGGCCTTTGAGGGCTGAGCAGTAGAAATCCATCTCCCTCTCTCTCCTGCTCCCCCTGCCAGCCCCTCCCCTCCCTGGGGCACACAGACGTGTCCCAGAGGAGACCAGGGTGTCGTCTGTGGGTTTGTGTCACCATCAGCAAAATTCTGTTTGTTTGGGACTCTCCTGTCCCTCCGTGTCCCCCCACAGCTCCTGTGTCTGCCCGCGGGTTGAAGGGATGCAAAGCTGCATCCCAAAGCTGCAGGGATGGTTCTGGGTCGTGTGGGGAGCTGGGAGGAGCCGGTTCCTGCAGGTGCCAGGTGTGTGTGCCAGGAGTGGCTGTCCCAGCTGGCAGGGACAGCGGGCACTGTGCCCCCTGTGCCCAGAAATCACCCCCAGCCCAGCCAGCGGACTCTGCCAGGGGCAGCTGGCACTGCAGGAGGGAGCAGGGCTGTGCCAGGAGCAAACACAGCCCGGAGGAGCTCCCTGCGGTGCCAGGGGTGCCAGGGCCGTGCACAAACCGTGCCCTGTATCCCATGGGAAGGGCGGGGGGATCTGTGGGGTCGGGCCAGGGCAGGGGGGCACGGACTGGCCAGAGAGGGGCCAGGGTTTGGCACAGGGTTTGTGGGCACAGCCAGAGCTGGGCCGGGCAGCCATGGAGAGGGACAGAACTCTCCAGTGCTCCAGCTGTGGGGGCACAGCTGGGAACAAACCAGCTGCAGGATTTGGGATCAATTCTTTGTTTTCTAAAGGCACAGGAAGAAGATTTGTTTGTACATGAATAGAAAGCTGTGGGCAGTGCCGGTGCTGGTAACAGAACACTCCGATTCGGACTCAGTGAATGTCCTGCACGTTCCAGGGCTTCCCCCTCCTCTGGAGATGCTGCCCTGCCTGCACAGGTGCCGGGATCCTGGTGACTTCCAGCCAGGAGGAGCCTCTGTGCCTGCAGGGTCGGTCCTGCTGGGCTGGGCTGGGCTGGGCTGGGCTGGGCTGGGCTGGCACGGAGCGCTGAGGTCTCCAGGAGCTCTCAGCTGTGCCTGGGCTCGGTTTCACCTTTTCCCAGGTGAAAAAGGAAGCAATACTTGTGCAGGGGATCCATAACAGGAGCTGGATGTGGGGAGGGGAACCTTCCAGCAATAGGGCTGGGGTGTGCACTGGGGTCAGCTCTGGGCTCACCTTTGGGGTCACCTTTGGGGTCAGCTCTGGGGTGCTGCGGGAGGAGGAGGAGCTGTCCCCGATGGAGCTGTCCCCGATGGAGCTGTCCCCGATGGAGCTGTCCCCTCTGTCGGTGCCACAGCAGAGGCTCTGCCTGGGGAAAGCTCAGTGAACACACTCAGCATTTCTGGGATGGTGCTTTAGAGCCAGTTCAGGGCTCAGGACGTTCCCTCTCCCTGAAATTCAGGCCTGGCCCTTGTGCCACCTTCTGCCCCCAGACTCAAAAGGCCACGGAAATCAAGGTTTTGTACAAGCTCCACAGATTAGCCCTGCTTAGTTATTTCATGGTTAGTTTATTGCGTTTTTCTCTCCCTTCTCAACATTTCCTGCATCTCGTTCCCCTGGGATTCCTGCCCCTCGCTGTGGCACCAGGCAGAGAGCAGGGAAACAGACAGGGCTCTGGATTTCCAGCAGGGCACGGGGCTCAGGACAGGGCACCTTTGTTCCCTGGCAGCAGAATGCAGCTGAAGCCCCCCTGCTTTCAGCCCAGGGCTTGCCCTGTCTGTTTTGAACGCCCTGGGCTGTAAGCTGTGTGTGCAGAGGAGGAGCAGGCACTGGGGATGTGTGTGAGTGTGAGTGTGTGTGAGTGTTCCCAGGGACACAGCAGTGCCAGGATTGCTCCATGATTAATAACTGGGCAAACATTAGACCAAATGAAATGTGCCCAAGTGGGCTTGATTTATGTGGCCTTCGTGAGTGCAGTCTGAGATGAAATGGTTATTACTCTCCAGTGCCACAGAAATAAAAACACAAGCAGGGGAAGGTGGGCAGTGCTCAGCAGAGGCAGCACAGAAAGGAAAGTGCAGTGGAGATTGCCTGAGACACACCTGGGCTTGGGCTGTGAAACACATTCCACTCAAATTGGACTTGGTTTCAGTGAGAGAACCCGTGTGTCTCCCTAGGACAGCTTTTGTAGCAAGCCAAAATTAAACTCCACTCCACTTTATCCTTTCTAAGATACCTGGGGAGAAAAGTGGACTTTGAGCCACTTTCCAGCAGTAACAAAGACCAGGTTCTGCTGCAACCAATTTGAAAACTTGCCTTGACTGCAGTGGGGCTGAGACTCAGCAGAATTCCCAGCTCCAGGAGTTTTGCCACCCCAAACCCCTGAGCCACCTGAGCAGGACTCAGAGCACTGGGGGACACAGACAATGTCATTTCCACTGAGCTGTGGGGACCTTAGGGCTTGGTTTTGTCCCTGAACCATCTGCACACACAGCACAGAGGGTCTGGAGAACAATTTGGGTTTAAGTTGGGTGAATAAATAAAATTTATTGATTTTATTTGTGAGTTGTGGGCTGAAGGAGAAGACAAGGCTGGGTTCTATGGCAGCCCTGGGAAGGCTGGAGGGACCCTCCCAGGCCCCTCACCAACATGAGTACAGACTTGACTTTCAGAGTACTTTATGCACAAGGCCCCATGTGTATCATGGTACAAAATAATTGTCCAGTCTTATGGATAGTTTATGCCCCAACGGGGTTTTGTAGATTAATAGTAAAAAAAAAAAAAAAA